TGGTTGACACCCCATCTTAAGTGTCAATGAAACAGTCAAAACAAAACAGTCCTTCTGGCACTTAAACAAAGAGGTGTCAGTTTTCTTCACATTACAAAGAGGATCCAAACAATGGTTTAATCAACATTCTAATGCAATTGCCTGGCCTAAAATCCTGCAGTTTTACATTTGAAGAAAAACACTGAAACACTGGAATACATTACGTTTGTTGTAACTTTTTAAAACTCAACACACCAAAACTACTTGGTTAGGTTTAGGAGGATGGTCTGTGAGAAACAGTAGAGACCTGGCTACATCCACATTACTACTACTACATGTTTTCGTTTTAAAACGGAGACCTTCTACTACGTTTGCAGCAAATCCGAAGACCTAAAATGTAGAAGTTTGAAAAGGCTGCTGACCCCGTTTTTGTTTTAAAACTCCGGGGTAGCGTTTTAGTGTAGACAGGCGAAAACACGATGACACACGCACACTCACATTTTGCTTGGGTCTTATAAGTCATGCAAAGAAAAAACAAGATGCTAAGACAGTGTTTTTTGTTTTGGTACTTATATTAAAACATTTTGTACTGTGCAAATAAGATTTATACACATGTGCTGTGCATGTCACCAAATTTACTTTGCAACAACTCCCAAGTCGCTTTGTACTCCCATGTAACTTTCAGTAACAGTTCCAACTCTTTGCAAAAAATATCTGGTGTGGTTCTTCATGTGCAGTAGAACTTTCTTTTTTCACCAAATCTTCTGCAACTGTGGAGTAGACAATTGGCTTCATGTTTACATTGGCATGTGCATGTATGTGAATGGCCACTTGATGTGCGTGTGTCGTTTTAATATAGAAGGAGATCAGTTCTGATACAAAGCTAAAATGTTAGTGTTGACGGAAATAGTTATAGTATAGTTTTTAAACTCCTTTTTAAATAAAAACGTAGGAGTGTAGATGTAGCCCTATGCAGGCAGCAGCTGTGCCTGGGAAAGCTGAAAATACATTCTTGCTTAATTGCATTTCTTTTGTATGTTAATGTATTTCAATGGGTGCATGTTTAACATTTAACTAAACACTGGCAGATATAAGAGAAAATAAATTAGGGTAATTAATTGTGATAAATCGATTGCTGATGCTCTTTCACTGACACATTTCCATCTGTTTTCATGTTGTCCTTTGTAAAGACATCACCACATTAAAACAGCAGCATCCCATTAATCAGTTGAGAGCTGTTCCTCCAGTGTGGATATCAGTAAGGGAATGGCTGATTAGTTTGGAGTAATGTGGGAGGCTCTCTATGTGAAGCTGGTCTACAGTATAAGCCACTATTGTCTCTGCAGCTATAGTAAGGGTTATGTCTGCTTGTACTGCACACACACACACTCAGACAAACATGCCATAAGAACACAAGCAAAATCTATATAAATAGACACAACATAAAGATAACACATTTATTTCAATCCTATTTTTTAGGGTGTCTTTGAATATTTGGACACAATGGAATAACAAAAACTAATATTTCCCGTTATGTAAAACAGTTACATACATACACACACACAATACTAGTGAATGTAGCATAACACAATCTTAAATGCACTCAAACAAAGGTGTTACGAGGTTGTGTGGACAGAGAGGACCCAAATGCAGCACTCTGAGGGAAGGAGGTTTATTGAGGGAAAAAGGGTGAGAGGAGGACGTCGGGGAAACACAGGCACGGGGAACCAAGGAGCCTGGGGGCCAGGGAGCTGGGGAACACTGGGGCCGAGGTAGCGAGGAACGGTGGGAGGACAGGAGGACGCTGTGGGGGAGGTCCGAGGAGGAGAGGGCGGGTGAATGAGCCCAGCCGACTGAACGGAGGACGAGGGTGAGTGTACCTGGGAGGGAAACAGGCAGAGAGACAGGGTTAGGGATGGCAGCGACAAGACACAAGGAAAATGTGGAAAAACAAGCAACATGAAAGCCTGAACATGGAAGTGGCACCGGGTATGGAGCAACAATGATCAAGCGAGGATGGTGTGGAGAACCGGGGTTGAAATACAGGCTGGGATGAGGTTGATTACTGGCAGGTGTGGCAGGCTGACGAGGTGGCTGATGAGATGCAGGTGTAGGTAGTTGGCTGGGCTCAAGAGCAGAGGGAGAGAGAGAACACAGGGGAGAAAACACAGGGAGGCAGGCAGAGAACAGGAAACCAAGGAAAAAAACTGAAAAACTGAAAAAAAAGGAGAAAAAACCAGGACACTCACTGTCAGCCGGGCTGCCACCACAACAAAAGGGGAATCAATATTCACACCTTTGTTAAATCATGAAGATATATATTGAGTTGTGTAGAGAGTTAAATTAACCATAATTAGTCCTGGGTAATGATACAACACTTATAGCGTGCAATATATTTCCTTTTATAGAGTCATGGTGGCAATTGTCTTATTTTTAGGGCTGGGCACGTTAAGGCGTTATTATCCTGTTAACGCATTAATTAATTTACACCAACACTTATTTTATATCATGTTAAAACAGTTTTATTATTATTATTATTGAAAGTCCGTTGCTCAATGGCTCTAAATACACATACGGTCAAACCATTGGTCACAGCAGGGGTGGGATGTTGATCAGCCTGCAAATCACCCACCCAAACAAACAGTGGAGGGAGGCTTCGGCAGACTACGCTGGATGCAGCGTGTGGGAGAAATAGTAACCAAAGTAACCATGGCAACAGCTTATGTGCGCTAAACAGCTGTAACCTATTTAACTTGAGTTAAAAGTATAAGAGAACTTTACCTGATAGGCCTACATCTACACTGAAAAAAATTATAAACACAACACTTTTGTTTTTTCCCCTCATTCATCATGAGCTGAACGCAAAGATCTAAGACTTTCTCTATGAACACAAAGGCCTATTTCTCTCAAATATTGTTCACAAATCTCAAATCCAAGATAATCCATCCACCTCACAGGTGTGGCATATCAAGATGCTGATCAGACAGCAGTGGTATTGCACAGGTGTGCCTTAGGCTGGCCACAATAAAAGGCCACTCGAAAATGTGCAAAAATGTAAAAACTTACTTGGCGGGCCTTGAGTTTGACACGTGTGTTAACTTGTTGCTCAGAAGGTTCCTGTTATGATCGTGGCTCTGAACTCTGATGGTAACTTGTTTTAACAAGCTAGATAAAAGGTCCTGGCAGTGGCAAATAGCTTTGGTTTTATATTTTATTTGACAACACTTGTTCTTATAGTCCATCAGATGGAACAATGAGCAGACACTTGTTCTTATAGTTGGAACAAGTCTTACAGCTCGTAATATAATATAGAAATCTACTGCAATCTATTACGGAAGTGAACTTGAGTCAGTAAATGTGTCAAGTTAGTTAAACAAGTTCTGTTTGTCTATAGTCGAGGCTGCAAATGTGAAGATTGATATGTTATGGCTAGACCACCCAACCACGCTGGTAAATATTGCCCCTTTATCTTAGTTGTGCAAAAACAAAGAATGTGTGTTTTTACTTCTGTTTTTACTTGTCCTTTTGATCATTGTGTAATGTGGTATATGTGTGTTTTTACTATTTTTTTTTTAACGCTGCAAAACAAATTGCCTCTCTGGGGACAAATAAAGTTCTACTCGACTTGACAGTAACCTTTGCACATAGTTTGTTGTGGAAAATTAGTAAATTGTTGAAACATTCATTCTATAATTTGTGTCATGCTAATATAGGCAGATAAAAGTAACAAACCACCTATTAACCCCCATCCACCTTACATTGTCCCACCAACAATTTCAATGCTGATGCTGACAAGTGTTAAAAATTAATCAAAACAAGGACAAAAAAATATCGTCCATCATAAAAATGTTTTAGAGTTTGACCCTTTTAGACAGACACATGATTAAGAGCTTGTGTTGAACCTAAAACTAATCAAACCATTACCTTTTTTTAAAAGTTAACTTACATAACTGGTAAACTGGTCGCTTAGTCGTTTTATCCAATATTCATGTTGTTTTGGGAGATTAGGCAAACTACACATTCTGTCGTTTAGGTATGAAGACATGTTGGTTTCTCCATATCCATAGCTCTATACATATTATTGGACTGAACCACCATGTCCCATGCACATTCTAGCTGCTGACCCCAGATGAATATTTATTTGAGAAGCTGAGCTATATGTATAATCTAAATGGAAGCAGAATTTTAAAAAAAGGTAGCTGGAAACAGGTCTCACGCTGAGATGATAAAACAAAAGCAGCCAACAATCGAGTCACAATGACAGGAGCCTCATGATAAACACAGTGAGGAGAAAGAGGACGGGGCCGAAGGCTGCTGTTTTTTATAACCCTGTGACACAACCAGCATTCTCCACTCTTCTTTTGGCAGTAAAACCACTCTCCTCCTTTTCAAACACAACATGGTTAGATAGTAACAGAATCTAACACATACAGTGCCAAGAAATCATTATAGAGAGAAGTTTAAGAAGTATTTCTGGGGGAGAGACCAGCAGCTCAACTTCAGATGAGGAGAAATATGTAGTGAAAATATCAGATCTCAGTATTATTCTAAGACTGGCAATACATTTGTACAAACATTAAGGATGTGGGTTTGACACTGGCAGAAACAAAAAGAAAGAGCCTACAGCCACCCTTAAAGGCACAGCTTTCTTTGAGCTAAATGCTAATATCAGCATGCTAACATGCTCACAATGGCAATGCTAACAGTGGTGCAAGCTTGATTATCATGTCATTCATTTTGCAGATATTTGTTCATACATAAAAATAAAGGAGACATTTTAATGTTGACCTCATGGTGGCCCTAGGAGAAAATTTAAGAGTTATTAGGTGCGTTTGAGATGACTGTGGCTGGGACTTTTTATGGTGGTGGTGATGCAGTGGATAAGAAACATGCCTTTGGTGTGAGAAACCTGGGTTTGAATCCACTGTGAGACACCAATGTGTCTCTGAGCAAGACACTCCACCCCTAGTTGCTCCAGTTGCATGCAACCTCTGATACATATTACGGTGGCCGGGAAGTGCAAAGCAACATTACAAAGACTGAAACACTTTTACAAAGCTTGAGACAAAGTTACATTTTGGAAAACATTTTTACCCAACCATAAAACACAATTACATGGGCGAAACACTTTTACCAAGGGCAAAACATTTTTACCAAGGACAAAACAAATTTACATTTTAGAAAACAAATTAGCAAGACGCAAAACACTTTTACCCGTCCCGAAACAAATTTACAAACGATCGATCCCTCACGGAAAGGGAATGTACCACATACCGGAAGTGACGAGTGAACGCGGGTGATAGGTGTTGTTGGTGAGCGCGGTTAATTCGTGTTTTCAATGTGGTGAATATGGCGTGAATATGAAGCATATAGGAATTTAAGTTTTTGGTGACCGAACATGGACTGCGACCGAGGGATGTTTTGCCCGTTTTGTGGTAAACACATGAGCAGCTTAACCCGGTTTTGCTTTACGTGTGGTCGGTGTTTGGAGTTTTTAAAGGACGCGAACCAGACGGAAACACAGGGGACTTCTCGACAGCCGGACAGTGCTAAGCAAAGTAAGTGTAGCATAATGCTAGCTATCTGAGGACATATGGACATAATTGGGTAGTAATGCTAATGATTTTTCGAGCGGCTTCTAACCTTTTACAGTTTCTATGCTTCTAACTTTCTATTTTGAAACGGAACTCTATCCATTTCAGCAGAACAACCATGCCCATCATACAAACAGTTCATGGAGTATAGAAGCTCGAAGTCAAAAGAAAGACAGTCTTTTAACTATGGGCCAAAAGGAAGATCTAGGCCTAAAGAAAGAAAAAACGTCCAGGTAAGTTGTACTGACCGTCCTATAAAATTTTGCAATGTTCTATATGTATTTGTGTGTGTGTGGATTTTACCTATACATGAATTATATCTTTGTTATATTACTAGATAAACGTAGGATTGATGGGGCCACATGGAACTGACGGGACTGATTTAAAACCTCTAAGAGGGAAAACACTCCCGTTATTTACTGACCCAGAGATAGCAGCACCTGATCTACTGAAACAAGCTGTCCAGAAAATGAGAACATTTAACAAGAACATGCACGAAGGACCTTATGTCCTTTTGTATCCAGACTGCTCAGAGGTGGTCCATGTGCCTGGGTCAGAAAGGCCATTTAAATTGGCAGAATATAAAAAGGAAATAGGAAAGGCATATTCCAGGATTACTTTTTTCATTTGCCTAGAAAAGCACTTTAAAAGAGGTTAGTGGATCTCATAATTCAATATTTTTAAATATTCAAATACTCTGCTGAAGGATAAATAATGGTTGTTTGATTTAATTTTTTCATTTTAATTTTAAACCAATTATGTATGTTTGTATTTATTCATTTTCATATCATTTATTAGATTTATTGGATTTTAAGCATAACATCAATATCCTGATCAATATTTAGTGAAAAAGGCTTGTTTTGATTATTTTGCCGTTACTATTAAACAGTAACACAGACAATCATTCAGCATTGATATACTGTGTCGTAATGTAAAAAATGATATAAGCTGTTGAAAGTTGTTGATCATTTTATCCGTTTCCTCTCAGGTTTTTGAACCACAAAATCGAAGTACTCCCAAATACAAACTGGAAGATGAAAGGTAGGTGTTGCACACTTGGACACAAAGGAACTTTCAGGCTTGCATGGGTTGAAATTATTTATTACGTCTTGACTGGAAATGATAATAATAATTCATATTTTATTGGGCTGCAGTACTTTCACTACCAGGTGCATTATCAAAAAATTTTTTTTCATTTAATTCACAAAACTGCTAAAACTACTAGGAGATATTTCACTACTTATTCACAGACACATTATACATACATTTATATTTCTGCACATAAGCTCAACGTTGCTACATGCTATCAGCCGTTTCTGTAACTGACTGAGGTGCCCCCTCGCTGCATACCTAGAGTACCCACAGCTGCCTGTGTGAGCTTTACTTTTAACATCACAGAATAAACTTACTGAAATACAGTTGCTCTTGCAGGTGAATAAACACAAATGACACAAATTAACCAAACCATTAAAAAAACACATGAGAATGAAGTGGGGGGTATCCACTGTCCCACATCATTTTCGTTTCTACAAAGGTACTATAGGCCTTTATTTAATTATAACTCTGAAACTTGCAGTACAAGTACTGTAATAGTTAAAAATAGTAGTTTGAGCTTTCTCTTATTTTATACCCTTTCCATTCAAAAAGAAACTCAAACAAACTCAGATTTGAGTTCAGGAAGTGCTCCTATGTAATGTTGTAACCAAAAATAGCCACTGGGTGAATAATTGTATGCACTCTGCCATAACAAATTAATAAACTTCTGTCCAAATATCACTTCTGTCACAAAATATGTAACCTTGAGACTTAGACCTTTCAGACAATGTGTTTTGTCAAGATAAAAAAAGGTTTTGATCATAAATTATGAAACATGACGATGCCCAAAAGGGGAGGAGCCCATTAAAAGAATTTAGAATACCGATTCTATAGTTACGCAATGTCCAATTTCAAAATGGGTTTCACAGGCTGTTTCGAGTTCGTAAGCTTTCGAATGATATATCATTTGTCAACATTAGATCTGGTGTAAACATGCAGTAACAGTCAACAGATTAATGACTTGGTCCTTTTTTATACCCTAATCAGGCAAAGTGACTCAGGAGTCAACTCATAAAATCCAAAAATATATCTAATTTTTTTTTAATTCTTTTGGATATGTTTTATTTAAGTCCAGATGATATAAAAAATTATTAGAAATTATTTTTCCTTAGCATTTTCCACTCTTGCCTGTTATAGGGTTAAACAGCGTACTGAGAAAATGGTTCATTAACTTGTGTGAATGTGATATTTAAGTTTTAATTTTTATCAAATTTGCTACAATTTCTAAAAACCTGTTTTGCTTTGTCATGATGATGTATTGTGTGTGTGTAGAGTGAGGAGGAAAAAGATTGATATTACTATGTGAAATTGATTATATAATGCAACAAAGTTTTGAAAATGTGCAAGGGGTGTGTAGACTTTCTGAAGGCATCGTATGAGTGCTCAAGCCACCCAGCTGTCTGTGTCATTCCAGTCTTTTGTTTCTGTGTTATACTTAGTTTGTAACAATTAACATTTAATGTGCAACGCAAAAATAGGGTTTCTTAAATCAATTTTCAACATAATTTTTCCCCCCAAATGTATGTTTAAGGTGGATATTAATTGTAGAGAAGAGAATATTTAATAGTTTTCTTTAGATAATTTAAATTCAATTGGCCCTACACAGCAGTGAAATGTTTTTGTTCAATCTGTAGATTCAGAGATGGTCTTTCAACCCTGGAGTTTTTGAATGCACTACAGCAACACCCTACTTTGCTGGCCCCTGTCCTGTACCACTCTGAAAGTCGAATCACTGCTTCTGAACTTGAGAGACTCTTCAAAACTGACCTCAGTCCTTCGGGGAGTAATCGAAGACTTAAAGAAAGTCAAACCATGGCCTACTGGGCAGACTATCTCCTTGATTGTGAAGGTTTGTTAGTTCATTTTTTTTGTATAACTAGTTAAGAAAACACATGGCAATGATGTATCTGAATTGTTTTTTTCTTTGCAGAAGACCAGGCTGCTGTGTCTGTGGAAGATGTTTTGATGTTTGCTACTGGGCTGTCCTCACTTCCCCCATCTGGCTTGGAACCACTGCCACAAATAGAGTTCCTGGATGACTCTGTGTTCCCAATGGCAAATACATGTTCAAACACTTTGAAATTACCACTCCTAGACTCATACACTTTGTTTAAGTCACAAATGGACTTTGGAATTCAAAATAGTCCAGGATTTGGCTGTTTCTAAGCTATACGATGGATGACCCCTAGAGTTAAGACTCTGGTCCGAAACGCATGACCAGCGTGAGCCTACGTGTGACGTACAACAGAAGCGCTGTGCTACGCAAACTCACTCGAGGCCCACAGCGAAGGAAATTAATAGTTGAATGAAGTCGTTATTTTTGTTTGTTTTTGCGCACAAAAAGTATTCTCGTCGCTTGATAAACTTAAGATTGAGTCACTGTAGTCACTCGGACTATTTTAATTATATCTAATAACTTTTCTGGGCCAGCAAGTTTCGATCCCTTAGAAGCCTATGGAGGAGTGATCCAGTTCTCAGATTTAATCAAAAATATCTTAATTTGTGTTACGAAGATGAACGAAATTCTTATGGATTTGGAACAACATGAGGGAGAGTAATTACTGACAGCATTTTCATTTTGGGGTGAACTATCCCTTTAAAAGTGCAGTTGCCAAAGTTGTTTTTATAATGTTACAGTATGTGAGCAGATTGTTCTTTTCTCAGTTAACATTTTGAAAATGTTTTAGATCCATGACTCTCAAACTGGGATCTCTTTGTGAATCACTTGTTTTAGATAAAGAAACCAGAAAATTTATTGTTTCTTTACTACAAAGTGTAATAAATGCTCATTACTGTTTTGACTCATTTGATTAATTTACTTCACACTTAAAAACAATTAAGCTTTGAGTGACAGATTCATAAATATTGTGTTCAGACAGGCAGCAGTGTTTCACCACTTCAAAAAAAACCCTTTTGATCATTTCATAGCTGAGCCTTTCTTTTAGTTTCATATACAGTTCTGATGCAGACTCCCAGTTCTCCGGCTTCTGTATCTGATTGTGTTCCATGGCAAAGTCCAAGTATTCCTGCATGTTTGGGTCCCCACAAGGAGTCATTGACAGGCTGGCCTCAGGAAGGGCATCCAGTTCAGCCTGTTCCACTTGAAATCCGCAGTCTCTGGAGCCAAACCTATGTTAAATAGTGAACATAATTGCAGTTCTTTTCATCTAAGTTAAAACATTATATTAATACTATGATCTGTTTATTACCTGTGTGGTAAGTAGTAGAGTTCATTGGGCATTCCTCCTGGACATGCTGCTGTTCTGGAAGGGCGAATCCTGTGACTGTTCCACAGTCTCACACACTCATCCAGGTCCTTCTGAATAACATCACCAAAGCAATATCTCAATAGGCACTGATGCTCATGACTCCCGTTGAAGTATCCAGCATCTCTAAGGTCTGCAAATAACTCCATCCAGAACTGAGACCTATAGAAATGGATAAAAATGTTTACTTATACTATCAAGTATATACACATGTTTGAATAATGAAATCAAAGATTAGTTGTAAAGAAATGTATGGTCTGTGAATCTTTTGGCCATTCAATTTTCTTTTCAGGAACAACTACTTTTCCTGAGGGGCAGGACTTGCTTTACATTTTTATAGATCTTTATTGTGCTCGTTTTTCATTACTCGTTCCCAAGAAGAAAACTGAAAGACCAAAGATGCAATGACCCTAAATGAAGACAACTCACCTTCCCTTTCTAAATATAGACCACCAGGACTCAATACGCTGGTTATTTACAGATGAGCCGTACATGTGGCTGGACGCTCCAGAGTAGTAGTCACTGTGATGGTGGCGTAGGGTACATTGAATTGCAGCCATTATGCCGTTCTCAGTGCCGCAATCAGTCCTCAGTCTCATGGGGATGACACCGAGGTTTCGCACACATGACATGAAATATTGAGCAATCACTGTTGGGTTATTTGTTGGTCCACATTCAAGCCACAATACTTGAAAATCCATCTATGCATCCCGAAATGGCCAAACCGAATGGCTTAAGTTTGTCGTAACCATCTGCGTGCCACATATAGTTAGGTCCCATTGAGTGATAGGTTCTTCTTGTAAACCTTCTGCGTACTCTGCTCTCACACCCTCGGGGATTGAGCTCCCGGAGGAAATTCATCACATCAGCTCTCTTCACTCGAGGATTGTACTTTTGTTTAAGTACCTGCCACATCGTGCGGTAGCCAAATAGTTGTCCAGGTCCACGAAGTTCAGATCTGATTGCGTTACTCAGGGCGTTTGGAGAGGAATAATCCTTTCTGCATTCAGTTTACTTTTAAGAGTCCTCAAGCTGATGTTTACACCGTGTAGACTTGACATCATGTCCATGATTACAGCGTACGAGTGGCCCTCGTTAAAATACTGAACGCAATGATGCAGTATGTCTGGTGTTTCCGTCTGGTTCGCGTCCTTTAAAAACTCCAAACACCGACCGCACGTAAAGCAAAACCGGGTTAAGCTGCTCATGTGTTTACCACAAAACGGGCAAAACATCCCTCGGTCGCAGTCCATGTTCGGTCACCAAAAACTTAAATTCCTATATGCTTCATATTCACGCCATATTCACCACATTGAAAACACGAATTAACCGCGCTCACCAACAACACCTATCACCCGCGTTCACTCGTCACTTCCGGTATGTGGTACATTCCCTTTCCGTGAGGGATCGATCGTTTGTAAATTTGTTTCGGGACGGGTAAAAGTGTTTTGCGTCTTGCTAATTTGTTTTCTAAAATGTTAATTTGTTTTGTCCTTGGTAAAAATGTTTTGCCCTTGGTAAATGTGTTTCGCCCATGTAATTGTGTTTTATGGTTGGGTAAAAATGTTTTCCAAAATGTAACTTTGTCTCAAGCTTTGTAAAAGTGTTTCAGTCTTTGTAATGTTGCTTTGCACTTTCCGGCCACCGTAACATATATAGCAATTGTAAATTGCTTTGGATAAAAGCGTCAGCTAAATGACTTAATGTAAATTATGTCACATTTTACCTTCCGTAGAGTGCTTGCGCTTACTGTTGGCTTAAAAATGAGCATGGAACTGTTACTGAAAGTAACATGGGGGTTAAAAGCGTCTGTAGCAGCGGAAACAGACGCAAAGTAAATAACAGCGACATGCACAGTACAAGAGTACAAATACCAAGACTAAAACTCTGTCAGTAGCACCGTGTTTTGTTTTGCATGACTTATAAGACCTTGCGTCATCATTTTTGCCTGTTCGCACTAAAACGCTATCCCGGAGTTTTAAAACGAAAAATGGAGTGGGGAGGAGGGCTGAACGATTTTGGAAAATAATCTAATTGCAATTTTTTTAAATCAATATTGCGATTTAATATGCAATTAATTTTTAAGCTCTTTACCTCCTGTATTATTCAAAATGGACAAGCAGTAAATCAGTGTATAGTATGACCAACACAATATGAGATAGATATAACATACACTGTTCTTTCTTGTGTCTCAGACCTGTGTTATGATGAATTAGGTAGAATTATTATTATGAGCAATGGTGGAGAAGATATATCAAATTATAATATGAGAAAGATAATTTGAGTCAAGTCATGGCATTAAATAATATAATATCATCAGCTCGGCCTATCTACAGACCACAAGAAAAACTAACTCACCACAGTGTTTTACACAGTAAGCGCTCCAGTCAAAACCCACAGTTCAACCACCCATTAATGCGTCCTTATCTCAGTTATAATCTCCTCCATTCAGTCCATTTTCCTGTATCCCAGTAAGCAAACAAAAAATACTCAGTTTGAGGTTCAATTCAAAAGTTGGCCAACGAAAATAAAACATAGTGACGCCTCTCATGTTAAATAGACAAGCTTAGTAATTCTCCAACAACACCGGAGTTTCCCCGCTGTAGTGATGGCAAGTTCGAGTCTTTTGAGAGACTCTTTCATTCAAATCTCGTGCATTAATATGAACTAATCTTTTTTGAGTAATTTCATCAATTTCGTTCATTTGAACTAGGCTGGTTATTGTGGCGCTGCATCCCTCTAGTGGGCGATTAAAAAACAGCGCCGTTCGCAAACACAGAAGGCTGCCTGGCTTGCTTTATCTGACAAAGTATAATGCACAAATTCACCTCCTGATTACTGTATATCATCATTATAAACCCCCCTGGGCCCACAAACAAATTCAAACCATGTAAAAACCACAGAAATATGTTGTCTAAGTGCAATCACCACTACTCTGCCTAAATCCTTCCATTTTCACAATCTTTCCTGAGTATACAACAGACCAGCCATATAAAGGCTTATGTATATAATTACTATCATTATCTCTAAAGTGCTTATTCATACAGGAGCCTAACGTCCCCATCCATGAGTAAAATATTACTATCAGATTTTCAGTAAATATATTGAAGTTATAAGCTTGATACACTATATGAATAAACACAACCAACTGAATAATAATCTGGATCTTAAAGATCTCCAGCACAGAGAGAGGAACAAAGAAACATGTAAACGCAGCAGTTTCGCAGGTCTGGACGCAGAATGGGCCACATCAGGTCTGGATTCTGTAGACAGAGAAACACACATGAGCACATCGCTCTCAAACATGTTCAGGTTGTTCACCAGTCACCAGCTGTGAAACAACAGCACGGCTCTGTTGGTAAATAAAAAGGAAAAGTTACGTTGCGTACTCTGGCGGACCTGGATCAGCTGTTACCTGTTTACAGAGCTAACACTAACGTTGCTATGTGGCTGTGTTTTAATGTTTTAATGACCAGGTCTGTTTGTTTTGGAGGGGGGACGACCTCTGAGGTAATTCGGCTCCAGGTAGAAACCTGTCAGGGCTCTGAAGTGGACCCAGAACAACTCTGAACAAACACTAGCAGGACTAAAGTTACGGTGCAGCTGTGTTAAAAATATAACTTAGCACACTTAGCATCACTGAGCTGTAATAATGTTATGCTTTATAAAATATCACATAATTAAGAAAATAGCTATATAATGTCAGTCCAGTGACTGTTACCTGACAGCCGACCAGCCTCTCATTCTCCGGCGCTGGCAGTCACTCAGCCTGCCGAGTGTACAAAAGACTGAGGAGGACCCATGTGAGCGGTGAACGACTCAAAACTAGAGACCCACAGTTGAGAGTCGTGAACTAATCAATTCTGTTTCCTGTGCTGACGGAGCCTGACGAGTGAACGTAAGAGTCCAAAATCCTTCACGCATGCGTGAAAATGAAGAATCACTCAACCCGAGACAACCCGTTCCTCCCGAGTCATATACACGATTAGGTCTTATGAACGAAACGTTCTTTGAACGACACAACACTACCCCGCAGCCTGTGATGCTGGTGAGCAGTGCACTGGCTGTAACTGGGCTGTAACTCAGGACAGACCGGGCCTCTTTCAGACATGTGAGTCTGGTCTGGAACGCCGTTTCACAGATATTTCCTGAGCTGACTGGTGGCTGTGTGTGTGACGCAGGTGCCGATCACCACAATACGCTTACCTTACTGCACGTGTCTTTCTGTTGTGCATATTCCCTGTCCGTCAAAGCTGCGGATGGCACGACAATTTCATCCACCACCACCACGTTACCCGCAGGTGGCGGGTGCTACTTTCATTCCCTGTGTGACGCTGAAATTTATGTAGTGTCAGCTTCTGTCAAGCTTAAGGCCATTGTACCACAAGAAGGCAAGGTACAGCGTAACGTGCAGACGAAGCATCAACTTCGTCTGCAGACTGCTTTCTGCTTGGGTGTCATGTGACCAGAGTGTAATCGCAGCCTTTGCGATTAGAAAATCTCGTTTTATTACATCGCGATAATATCGCAAAA